ACACACACACACACACACACACACACACACACACACACACACACACACACAGTCTATTGTCGGTCCACAGTAACTGCTCACAGATAGTTTGTTTTGTCTTCACTTTGATTTCTGTGCGTTCAGCCATGTTTGGTTTGTGACACCTGGTGTGTGACAGACTTATTCAATCATCAGAACTCTTGACTGTGTCTCACACGTCTCCAGCTCCTCTGTCGGCTTCACACGCATGTGTGTGACGTGTAGTGTGCCACTTGAAAGCCCCTGTAAAGGTTATTAGTTCCTCCTTCCTGAAGCTGTCACAGCCTGAGGCTTCATTAGAACGTATTAGATTAAAACAGCTGCCAGGCGGAAACACGGCGAACGTGTTGAAATGAATCATGGGAACGTTTTGTTCGTGTTTCTTATCTGTTGTTTTTTTGCAGCGGGGGCAGGGCACAAGCTGGGCTGGGCCTTTGGTCTCGGGCTGGAGAGACTGGCTATGGTCCTGTACGGCATCCCAGACATCCGACTGTTCTGGAGTCAGGACGAACGTTTCCTCAAACAGTTCAGAGTACAGGACGTCCAGCAGCACGTCTGTTTCCAGGTACCAACACACACATGCACGCACGCACGCACGCACGCACGCACGCACACACACACACACACACACACACACAAACTGAAGGTGAACGGAAAATGATATGAAAGAAATTGTGGAAAAAGGTGGCAGCTGATGAGAGCCCCCCGTCAGAATGTGTTTTATACATGAGGTTAAGAACACACACACACACACACACACACACACACACACACACACACACAGTGGGGTGTGTGCAGGGTCACACAGCGGTTACTCTGTCCCTGCTAAACGCGTTCTTTGTCAACTCTCGTCCTCACTAATAAAGAACATTTCAGGTGACTGTTGGAGGGCAGACAGGAGAACAGAGGAAGAAGAAAAGAACATAGGGAGGGAGGATGGAAAAAAAGGAGGAAGTGGGGGGAGAGAGGGAGGCAGGATGAAATGATGGGGAGAGACAGGAAGGACTATGCAGGTAAGAAACAACCAGGGAAGGAGTGATTTTAAAAAAGTCTGGAAATAATGAAACCAGAGAGAAAAAGAAAAAGACTTGTGTTTAAGAAAGGAGCGAAGGAAGGCTGGAAGAAGAGAGAAAAGGGAAGGGGGGAGAAAAGAAGAGGTTGCACATATATTGCATACAGGACAAGGCAAAGACAGTGAAAGAAGCAGGGAAGTAAGAGATGCTGGAAGGAAAGAGTGATATGAAGACAAAGGAGAGAGGGGACGGAGAGACGGGAGCGGAGGACAGACTCTGTCGACTTATTGATGAACTCGGTTCCTCCAGAGGGACGGAGGCAGCACGGCTCATCTCCTGCCCAGGGTCAGTGCACCTCTCCTGGGCCTAGACTCTCCACCTCTCCCCCTTAACTCTCCCCAACCCCCTGGACCTCCAGTAATGAAGTGTGACCACCGAGGTGTGTGTGTGTGTGTGTGTGTGTGTGTGCGTGTGTGTGTGTGTGTGCGTGTGTCTGTGTGTGTGTGTGTGTGTGTGCGATGAAGAAAGACGTGACTTAAGAACAAATTGTAATTATATATAATTATATTATATTTAGGATTACCTCCCTGCAGTTGTTATTCCACCAACAACCAGTTTCAAATTCATTTTTAAGACTCATGTCTGTGACCTTTGACCTTTGACCATCAGCTTTGAATCAGTTCAAATCAGTCTCTCTCTCTCCTCCTCTCTCTCCTCCTCTCTCTTCTCCTCTCTCTTCTCCTCTCTCCTCTCTCCTCCTCTCTCTCCTCCTCTCTCCTCCTCTCTCTTATCCTCTCTCCTCCTCTCTCTCCTCTTTCTCTCTCTCTCTCTCTCTGTATTAAAACTTATTTTCACAGATGATAGAAAATCTCACTCTCTCCTTCTGTCGCTGCATAAAACCTCAGATTAATTCTGTCGATTAAGTTTTAATGTGTTATTGTCTTCATGTTATTCTTTCTGCTGCATTTTCTCCTCTTCTCTCCTCCTCCCTTCTTTTTGCTTCCCCTCTTTCCGTCACACGTCTTTCACTTTAACTTTTCACTATGTTTCATATGCACGTTGTATTTCACCATTTTGAATCTTTGTCCTGTGTGTGTTTCATCAGCCGCTCAGTAAGTACCCCCCCCTCCACAACGACATCTCCTTCTGGCTGCCCGACAGCAGAGAGAGCGAGGCTGGGCGAGAGAGCTTCACAGAGAATGACTTCTACGAGCTGGTGCGCTCCATCGGAGGAGACCTGGTGGAGAAGGTGTCGCTGGTGGACGAGTTCACACACCCCAAGTATGAAAACACACACACACACACACACACACACACACACACACACACTGTTGTTGTTCTGACCTCCATTCTAATGAATCGTTCTGAACTAATAAAGTCGTCACTGTCCTGAAATGTCCTCACATAGATAAAACACAAGTATACACACACACACACACACACACACACACACACACACACACTCACACTCAGTGCTGTCCTTGACGTACACCTCTGAGTCTGCAGTGCCT